TGTGTGTGCGTGTGTGTTTGCTAATTATTTTTGAAATATCAGTTGCTTGTAGGGTCCAGGGGATCTCGTAGTCGAGCAGTCTCGACTAGAGCTTTCTTACTTGTTTAATATAGATTAGATAGAGATATAAATATAAAGATAGTGTAATCAGGTGGTCAGGTTACTATCTATTCTCTGATTCCATTTTAGGACGATAAGATTTAATATTTGTTTATATTTACTGGTTTTGCAAATAGTCTTGATTTATTAAACTTACTTCACTGGAAGTCTTAAGTAGTTGGATATGTGTTTGTCTGCATCTGTTTTCGTATATATGTAAATATACAGCTAACTGGAAGTATCTTGAGTGTCTCCCACCTAGAACACTCCCACTTTCCTAATAAAGTACATAATTAATGTCCAAAAGGACCAGTTCAAAAATGAAAACAAATCTCCTTTGATTTCCTATGCCTACAGGTCATTCGACATGGGTCTAGGTCAGCACTCAACATGCTCCACATACACACAGTCGAGACACGTATGCAATCCGAATTATTGATTTGTGGGAGATACACATATGCATCAAATATGTGGGTTAGTCATGACGACCGGCCACGACCACAACAATCCGATAATTGCGACCTTAAGCAATATGAACAACAAATATTCGTTGAACTGGCTTATGACACTTTATTAGATACTGTTGCGTTGTCGCGGAAGGATATACGAGTGGCCCATTTGGCCCCAATTAACAAAATGAAGCATCAGCAAGTTGTTGTGGACTACTGGACCATGCTGAAGACATCGGCATTGTGTCTGATATTGGCTGTAACGGGTTTTATATTCCTCAGGTATATATGACAATTACATCTGAGTGACTTCAACTTGAATTCCTTTGTATTCATTGTAGAATGGTTCAAACGATCTTTTGGCTGCCCAAACGTTTCAATCAGAACCAGGAACGATTGGAAGCCTTGGCCAAGCAATATAGCGAACAAATGGATCCGGAGGAGCGAGCTGAAATCGAAAAGATGTTCAACAGCGACGAACCCCCAACAGAAGAGCAAATTAAGAAGTTGCTGGAAGGCTCCAAATCAGAGAGCGACGAGCCCAAAAAAGAACAGTAGACCCTAAGTATGCAATACACATAAGATTTTAAAGCTAATAAATACATATCTCGAAAAGAAGAGCAGTGGAAAGATCCTCTAAATCAACTAAATGTAAAGCTTCTATAAGATTTCAGCTGATTAAATATTTATTTGTCATGCATCGGAAAGCTTTCAATTCAGTAAGCGAAGAGTCCAGCTGGCAACAGTAGACACTAGCTATAAAGTACACAGATTGTGTTTGGTTTTTAAACAATATATAGCATATATATTTTGTTTAGTATATCATGTATGCTTTGAAACAATAATTGGTATTACAGCGATTTTACACATCATATATAATATTTATATTTCATAAAACTGAACAATTAACTAAATTAGCAAGAGATAAACGTATAATCAATCAATCAGCAACTGGTTAGCAATGTATTTATTTAGTAGGGTATATGTATGTATGTATATATATGGGTACTTATAATAAGAACAAAAATACATGTATATATGGTATACATATCTATATGTATGTATTGGAAAAAGCAGTTCTATTTGCTACTGATATATGCGGACTTTAAGCCCTTTCCTGCTTCAATTTCAAGTGTTTAAAGGGAAGCGAGCAAACCATGCCATATGAAGAGCCTCAAATAACAAAGGACATTTACATAGATATCATCAACTTCAACCTCTTAAGTTTTCTTCATCTTAATTTTGTTTTGTTAACTAACTCATATCAAATATAAGCAAGCAATACAATACAGATTCAGATTTACTATATTTTCTATATATATATATATATATTGGATTTTTCAAAAGCGCAAGTCTCTCTTTTGTCTTCATTTTCTTTATTTTTTAGGGGTTCCTTTTACCACTCTTCTAAAAATTGTCATATATGTAGTATATATGATGAATATAAAAACGTTTCTTTATCTCGCACTTTCTAGCCAGCCAAAAATATCACGAGAGTTTTTTTTTTTTTTTTTTTTGCTATGATAAGAACTAAATTATAAGCCTTTCGATATTTGCCATTTTGTTTGATTTTAGTAATAGATAGAAAGAAAAAATGTTGGACCAATTCCGAGAGAGCGCATTTCTGTCTATGTTGAACAACTTGTGAAACAGAATAATTATATATGTATATATGATCTGTTGTGTATATAACTTAGTTAATATTTCATTCATATATATTATATGTATACATATAGATATTTATATATATACTTCTGATAACATTTAAGAGCTGCCCTCAATGCCCTATTGACTTGTGGTATGCATTGGAAGTCTGAAGAATGGATTTGCCAAGTTAACGCGCGCAGCGGGCAGCAACTCGGGATGTTCGGTCAGAGTATCGGAGAGTGCGGTGAGCAGAACTCCTAAGAGGAAAATGAAAATCAATTAGAAATTTGTTTTTGTTGATAATAATAGAGCCCCACTCACTTAGCACTTTCTTCTGCAAGTCAACGGGAATAATGCCCAGATTGCCCTCGTGTTCCAGGAATTCGGTTAGCTTCTGCAGCTCCTGCTGGGCCTCATCGGAACCATGAGCCAAAGACTGAGCAAACATTACCTGAAGGATAAATGTTACAATGTAGATTATCTCTCTCTCTCTCTCTCTTCATCTGTTTATATCTCCACTCACCTTGGCCAATTTGTAGAGTATTTCCTCCAAGCTATACTCATTATACAAATACTCTACAATCTTAGCACGACCCATGGTTTCATCATAGTCCGTTAGATCTAATATATACATACACAGTTAGCTTTAGTTTTACATAGTGAACTTTATTTTTACCCCACCTTGAGGACTCTCATTCTCCAGGGCCTTCAGCTTATTCCAGAAGGTGAAGCTGTCTAGGGACTTGCCACGTCCTATTTCCGGAGTTACGGCCTCCGAATCGCTCTCCAAGTGTATGAATGGCTTTTCAGTGGTGGTGCTCGTTGTGGTTGTTGTTGTTGTCGATGTGGTTGTCGAGCTGGGCAAAGTGTTGCGCTTCAAGTGATTCTGACGCAGCTCCTCGGGAAAAATGCGATTGGCATAGGAGCGCTGCAAGAACTCAATGCCTAGACGAATATCGCGCAAGAACTTCAGAGCACTCTCTCGGGTGATCTGCGAATAGAAAAGATATAGATGTGGAATATAAATGTATAGAAATAGATAATTGATAGAAGTGTATAGAAAGATTTGTTTAAATTATAGGTGTAGATAATAGGGGGTATAGGTAGATATATAAATATTGAAATGAAATATTGAAGTAGATATAGATAGATGCAAATACATATAGAGTTAGGTATATCAAGTCAGGCCTAGTCTCTGAATATTTGAATCTGATTCAGAAACCCAACTATTCGATATATTCGTAGACTATCAGAATATTAGATAGTTAGATAAACTCACCAAATTCTCATCGATCAGTTCCTCAACAGCTCTAGCCACGCCTGTTTCGTCGCCAGTCCAGAACACATACTGCGCCATATCAAAGGAAGAGTATTGGCCATTCGTATTGCGCAGCAAGCTCTGGGCCGTCTACAAGAAAGAGATCAAGGATAGTTTGTGAATAAGGGCAGATCAGCAGAGCTGCGAGTGGGGTTAACGTGCAAACAAGAGTGGGCGAATGTTGAGAATAGATCAATTTAGGTTGGGTTAGCCAATTCGTTGCCGATCAGTAAAATGCTTTTTTGTGTTATCATAAGAACCTTGGCCGTCATATGTGGCATGCTGGAGCGTCGCTCTGTGGTCTTGGCCACCGTCTCCAGCTGGTCGATCAGTATGTCGCCAATGGTCTCCTTGTTGATATCGTGATTGTGTTGAGCCGTGGGCAATTTATCCGGCATCGAATCGACGTCGGCTCCGTCAGCTGCGTCGGCTGTCTCTTCGGCAGTCTCAGCGGGCTCGCCCGCCACATCTTCGCCAGCTGGCGCTGCTGCGTCTTCTGTGGCCACTGTTGGTGTTGCAGTTGTTGTTGATGTTGTTGTTGTAGTCGTGGGCATTGCTGTTGTTGTTGTGGTTGTTGTTGTTGTGGTCGCTGGAGATGTGGGTAATACCTCGGGATTTTGGCCAAATGCTAGACGCGCTGCACCGTAGAAAGCCTGTTGGTTTTTGGGTGGTTTCGTGGATATACACTTGGATTTTCAAAAGACACATATTGGCTTGGTTTACAAGGGGCATACATACATACAGATACGCATACATATATAGCTATGGGACGGGATCTGGGCAGGGCAATGGCTCTTTACCTTAGCATGGGCGCCCGGCTCATTGGCCGGCTTGGCCGCCGTCTTCGGCTCCTCCAGCTGTGAGCGTTCACCATCGTCCTTAAACGCTGCCGTTGTCGTCGTTGCCGATGTGCTGGTGGTGGTTGTGGTCGACATCGACATCAGGGGCGTGGCCACCTCCAGTTGACGCTCCAAGTCAGGCATCAGAGGCTGCTCCTTGCTGCCCGCCTCCGGCGGTGCAATTACTTTCTCGATGCTCTCCTTGGTGGTGGTTGTGGTGGTGCGTGCGGTGCTGCCATCGTGCTGCCGTTTGCCCACCGCAGGCTGCTCCTGCCTCAGCTGATCCAGTTCCACGACATCGTCCTCGATTTGCGGAAAAGTATCAGAGCTGCGTTTCAAAGGAGCTGCACGAACACAAATACATGAATGTCGTCTCTAAGTACAGTACATACAGTGAGGCGTACTTACAGTAGAGATATGGTAAGAGAGCCGGATAGGCATGAGCCAGGCTGCAGCTGGCAACCAGGACAACAGCCACGAATCGATTGCCAAACATAGCGAGCGTAATATTTCGAGCTGTAAAGGACATTAGACGTAATCAATTTGATTAGCTGCCAACAAAATTTGATTACGCATACAAATGCATGTTTAAATGTGTACGAGTGTGTAAGTGTGTAAGTGGTAGTGTAAAGAGAGTGAAGCAGAAACACACGCACATCAATGCAAATAAATATTGCTAAAAATAACACAAGAAATCGATAAAACAGCGGCAGTAAAAGCGTCCAAAGCAAAGCACAGCACAACGAAAACACCAAAAACAAAAAACAACAAAACAAAACTGAAAAGTTTAATTTGGTAATGGGGAACATTAAATGCCCTTACAGGTAGTAAAAGCAATGCAAGCAACGCTCAGCGAAACATAAACAAGGAAATGGAACAAGAAGTAAATTTTCAATTTGAAGGACGACGATTAAATACACTTGCTAAATAAATATATTTTAAAAATAAAGTTAAAATAATATAACATAATTATGGGCAAACATTATTAAATTAAATTCCATTAAAAGCATACAATTATTAATTAGATTATGTTTATTAATAGTTAGTTTCAAAAATGGTGGACTTCATAGTAGCAAATGAATTTATATATATATGTATATATATGTATATGTATATGTATATGTATATGTATATGTATATGTATATTATATATTAGTATGACCTAATTAAATGTATATGCATATGTACATATATGAGGAAAAATTATTCCATTTGATACTTGATTAAAGATTTAAATACAAGAAATAAAACTTAATTCACAAATCAAATGAAATAATTAATATACGTTTTTTATTAATATACATATGTAAAAATACTTTAAAATAAAGTATATAAGCTAAATTCAACAAAAGATTGAAATCGAGTAAAAGAAATGTGTGTAAAATGTGTCTAGGAATAAAATTATCAACTTATACAATCTCGCATCATAAATTTGTTAACATAAGCAGCATACCCATTGCAAGGGTATTCAAACAAGGTGCCACAACAACGGCAACAACAAGCTTGGGGCTTGTCAATGGGAGAGCAGAATGGAACACGCCAACTTTGATGTTAAGCGAATTTTATGATGTGGTCCCTAACTAAGCCACCCAACCACCGACACTTACACACATATACGCAAGCAAAGAAGAAGCGCACTCGCTTACACATACACACATATACACCCACATATACACGCACACGATTGTAATAGATTGGCCACAAAAGCGAATTATCGATGCATTTGGGAGCACTTAGGCACGTTTTGCGCATTGCAAGCCACTTGCTGTTGTAGATTGCGTGGTTGAGTGGGGATGCAGCATAAGCTGCAGCAGCAGCAGTTAAAACCACAGCCGAAATTATGCTGCAAATGCAACGCAAATCATCACACACACACTCTTGCATATACACACAGCCACTATACATGCTCATGAACTTTACACATATAACAAATATGGCAACGCTTAAAAGTGTGCTATAAAAATGTTTAACGCAGTAGACGCTTGGCAAATAGATATTGTTATTATTATTATTGTAATTGGCACAAATGGAACAAAATTTCAAATTTTCACTTTTACCTCTTGTAGCGTATCAACTGTAAAAACTTGTCCTAACTGCACGAACACAGAGAAGACTCTGAGCCGAGCAACGAATTGCGAATTGTTTGGCAGCAATAGAAATTGAAAGCTCACTCTTGCCGCTAAAGCGCTTTAACACTATGAGGCCAAACTGGCATTTGTATGCCCGCTGCAAGGATAAAAGCTCGATGGAAAGCTTGAGCATTATTGAAGCGTTGCTCCGTATTTGTTTCTTAACTATGTTATGATTTATTTAAAAAACAACGTCACTAAATTAAATCATGTACATTTAATTGCAGCCTGGAAACGGATCCACACGGTTTTTTCGCAGCACAAATTGAATTTTGCGATTCATATCCTCATTGTAGATGGCCTTGCACTTCTCAAAATTAACGCGACGACGCACCTGTAATAATTACAGTCATTAGTTATATTTAAGAACATGTTTATATTGTTTGTATACCCACCTGGTAGGGCTTCTCATAGAAGCGCGTGCGGCGGAACTGATCGAAGATTTCTTCCTTGCCGAGTATGCGGTTAAGAAGACGGCATGCCTCCTCCACATTGTTGTTGTGCACAAACACAGTGCGTGCTATGAATTGAGCGTGTCTCATTTCTAATTCTAATTCACAATTTATTTTATTGAATCTGCGAGTATTCCACTCGAGTTAAATAACCAGGCCGCCGTAGACAGCTGTTTTATGAAGTGTGACCGTATTGCTTGTAGCTGTCGTAAGCTTGCCAGACTGCGCATTTGTGACAGAGTTGCATTTTATCAACGAGCAACTCGTTGCCATGGCAGTATTATTATATTAAAGCAGTGTAGCAAGTATCACCCCTAATATATTCTCGATCTTTCATACAACAAGCGTGGCGCATTCGTACAGCGATAGCAGGCTGCTGAAAAAGTATTCGAAATAGATTTAAAATTATAGTAAAAGTGTAGCTCTTAAAGCGTACTGTAAAAACGGTATACATATATATAAATATATAACTATTAGAACAAATACTCGAATACTCTGTGAAATCCTGTCATAAAAAGGTGAGAGCTAAGAAATGGTTTAATTATTTCCGCAGGCATTTGCATTATGTGTGTGTGTATTTGATGATTAGTTTTTGCCCACTCTGTTAAGTAATCATAGGGAATATAAAATTTGTATATTTGCGTCGTAGTTAGTAAGTGCATTTTGTTATGCCTGCTGCACTATTTTGTAAAATCGATTCAAGTCGGCAACGAAAGCTGAATTTTCTTTGTCTCTACCCCAATTAATATTCCTCTGACGCAGCGTCCTGCGCGGCACATGTTTTAGCGTGTGCACTCATACTAAAGCATATTTATGTGAATGTGTGCGCCTGTCTGGGAATTGCAGCCTGCACAATTGACAAGAGCCTTACGAAAATCGCAGGCAAATCAATAGAAAATTGTACAGCGTTTTCTATTTTTTCTTTTCGTCTCGTTTTCTGCACGTTGCTTTACACCTAGTCATTGTGTTGGTGTGCTTTTTTTCACATTATCGAGTCGTTCGCTTTGTGCCGATGTTCGCACAGGGGCAACGGTTACGGCAACCAGGGCTGCGCACTGCTGACGAAATTTTCTAGAAGTTTATGTACATTTGTATATATGTAAATATGTATGTATGGATGAGTGTGTGTATATTTATCTGCGTCAGAGTGGGAGAGAGACAACGAATTGCAAAGAGCAGGGCAGAGTCAGCTGTGAGGCGTCGAATGTGGTATCCAAAACCGAGCAAAAAAGCATATTGAAATAGAAAATTTCTAGAAAACGTGGGCCCTGTTGTCGTCGATGTCGCCGTGTGCCGACCTTGATATTGCGTTTTTTTTTTCTTTTGAATTTTTGCATGCCGGAAATTGCCATTTATATGAACAAAAAGTGAACAGTTTATAAATATCTGGCAACCCGAGTAATTGCAATGTAATTTCGTCTCTGCTTGCAGTTAAAGTTTGAAAGAATCACCTATAAAGAAAAAATATGGTTAAGGAAACGGGCTATTACGATCTGCTGGGAGTGAAGCCCAATGCAACCCCTGATGAGCTGAAGAAGGCTTACAGAAAATTGGCGCTCAAATACCATCCAGACAAGAATCCCAATGAGGGCGAGAAATTCAAAGCCATATCGCAGGCGTATGAGGTGCTCTCCGATGCGGACAAGCGGCAGATATACGACGAGGGTGGTGAGGCGGCCATCAAGAAGGGCGGCGCCGATTCCGGCGATTTCCGAAATCCAATGGACTTCTTTGAGAAATTCTTTGGTGCCGGTTTCGGTGGTGGCGGCGGCGGCCGCCGTCGTGAGCGACGCGGCAAGGATGTCGTCCATCAGATGTCCGTTCAGCTGGAGGAGTTGTATAATGGAGCAACGCGCAAGCTGCAGCTGCAAAAGAATGTGATTTGTGACAAGTGCGAGGGACGCGGTGGCAAGAAGGGCAGCATCGAGAAGTGTGTGCAGTGTCGCGGCAATGGTGTCGAGATCCGTGTGCAACAGATTGCGCCCGGCATCGTGCAACACAATGAGCAGGTATGCCGAAAGTGTTCCGGCAGCGGTGAGACCATACAGGAGAAGGATCGCTGCAAGAACTGCAACGGACGCAAAACGGTGCGAGAGCGCAAGGTGCTGGAGGTGCATATCGAGAAAGGCATGCGGGATGGCCAGAAGATAGTATTCGCAGGCGAGGGCGATCACGAGCCCGAATCTCAGCCGGGTGATATCATAATTTTGTTGGACGAAAAAGAGCACTCAACATTTGTGCATGCGAACACGGATCTGATGATGAAAATGCCGCTCCAACTGGTCGAGGCTTTGTGCGGCTTCCAGCGGGTCATCAAGACCCTCGATGATCGCGATCTGGTGATTTCCACACAACCCGGCGAAGTTATTCGACACGAAATGACCAAATGCATTGCCGAGGAGGGTATGCCCATATTCAAGAATCCCTTGGAGAAAGGCACGCTCATCATACAATTCGAAGTTATATTCCCCGACATGCTCAATCCATCAGTTATCCCGACGCTCAAGCAGTGCTTGCCACCGGCGCCAGAGATTGACATTCCAATTGATGCAGAGCATGCAGTTTTGGTAAGTCAAGGAGAGAGAGAGGGAGAGCGAGAGAGAGCTCTTCGAAGAGAAAGTAAGTCGCTAACTTTACTATTTATTGTTTTGTTTTGCAGGAGGACTTTGATCCCAAGCAACGACGCCAGGAACACCAGCGCATGGCCTATGATGAGGACGAGGGTGGCTACCAATATGGACCACGCGTTCAACAGTGCACATCTAGTTAAGCGGCTTACACTTACAGCAAATTAACTAACACACAACAGAAATAAACAACACCCGTAAATACAAGAATCTAAGAAATAAATCAAATGTCTGCGTCCAAGGTGAATCTGGAGAATATCCACTCGCCAACCCCCTCTGCGCGTTCCAGCTGTCAACCCAAAGCAAGTCCGTCACTAACATCGTCTGAACTAGCTACTGCCCCCCCCACTTGGCACTCAGCGCGTATATATTCCCAGCACCTGGCACTCCATCCGCATCGACACTGGCATTTGCTGCATTCTTTGTAATATCCCAAACTAAAACTAAAAGCAACACTCGCAAATAATTAACTGAAATTTATACAAACACACACACACACCCATATATACACTAAAATGTATCCAAATTGAAGAAACAAAAATTTCAAGTTATATATATATGGCTTAGAATCGGAAGACGCTCTTCAGACTACGAGATATGCTAATTACGATATTTAGGTATAAAAAGAATACAAAAGAAAATACTTATCAAAAATATTATGCACTACATTTTTAACGCGTGGTTCGAAAAACTATATATAAACATTGTTTTATTCCGTTTATGTTGAGTTGGATATATATGATATATATGAGTTGACAATAGGAGAAGCCACCACCATGAAATACGAAAATAGAAATGATACAAAATTTGAATCAAGTCGCCACTAGAACCGCATATTTACAGATCGCGATCCAACGCGTCTAGGAACAAGTTTAAGTTATTTAATTCCAGCCTAAATAATAAAGCGTTAGATTAAACGGATATGATAAATAAAATAATTAATACACAATTTCAACTTTAAAACTATATGTATGTTATGCCTTCGCTTTTCTTTCAATGGTAGCGCATGATGCGTTACGATACTGCATATTATCTAAGGCGGTTATCAGTCTGGCGTGACTGGCATATGATTCATAGATCTGGCTCATTTTAGGATATTAGTACATTAAAGTGACTAAAATGTCATCTATAATATAAAAATGGGCTTTAAAAATTTGATTCTACAATTGGAAAAAGTTGATGTGATTTGGTTTTCACTCCATTTGACAGAGGGAATGATGTATGTATATAATATCAAATATGTATGGCTCAACCGAACTTCGATTGAGGTTTTCGTATGCTGAATTCTAAATTTAAGAAATTCCAGTTCGAGCTCGACATTTGAAAATGCACAACGATATAATTTGTTACCAATTTATTTACAAACATCTGGTAAAACGTAATTTAAGAGACTTAAGATTATAGACCGAGTTAGCGAGCAAAGTTGCGTAGGGCTGCGACGACGCCTGTGCCGTAGATCAACTTGCTCTCGATGCGCTCCCAGGCCGCCTGTTGGACCTGTGAAACGCTGCGCAGCGACCTGACAAGCTCTGGGGATTCGCTTAAGCTCAGGCCGTGGGAGCGCAGATAAACGCTTAGATATGATTGGGCCAATTCGAAGTTTTGGTTCGTGCCAAACATGTGATCGACGAGGCTGAGGAACTGCAGCATAGCGAGCTTGGTGCCACCGGCATCGGGATGCAGTGATTTGATCTCGAAGTCCACCATTGACGGACCCAGCTGGGTAATGTGCTGCAACACAGAGTCGAAGTCTTTGCTTGTGGCCGTCGCCTCCAGCAGCTTGCCAAAGGCGGTCAGATTGTTGAACGAGGAGACCTCGAGCACATGGGATTGCTCAGAGTTGCCCGTTTGCTCATTGGACACATCGAACTGTAGATCTAGGCCTGCGACAGTGGGCAGGAAGAAGGGCGCCTGTTTGGGTGCTTTGGGCGGTGCCTTCGGCTTGTTGCGCTGCTTTATCAGCTCCAGGTCGAGCAGATTCTGCCAGCGCGATGCCGCCAGGCCGGAGAGTGTGATTAGCTCGGGCGTCAGCTGCTTGGGCGTTTCGTATTGGGCATCAATCTGTTCGCCCAGTTCCACATTATCGTTAGCGTCATCGATGCCCATCTCCTGCATGGCATCGTCAAGATCCATGGCATCGCAAATGCTAGCGGGCAGGCCCACATACGGCGCCGGTTCATTCGGATCCATGGAACGCAACGAGATCTGGTTGAACAGCGTCTTGTTGGCCCACAGGTAAATGCCCAACAAACCGACATGGGCGGTGGCCAAGAAGTCACCAGTGGGCGACATGCTTAGGGAGATGCAGGGCTGCTCCACCTTGAAATGATCAATCATATAGGATGAGGGTATGTCCCACACCTTGATGGTCGAGTCCATGGAGGCTGTGATGAGCCAACGGCTGTCCGGACTAAAGACCATATCGTTCAGCTTTGCAGTGTGGCCGACAAACTTACGGATCACCACACGCGTATCCATATCCACCACGTAGATCTTAAACGATTCCAGGCCAATGGCAACCATGGAGCTCTCGCGATGATGTCGCATTTGAGCAACGCCATCAGCTAGTCGCAGCACGGCAACTGGCTTCGCAGCTGCGTAGTGATTGGGTGAGAATGATGAGCACGAGGCGGAACAATGATTTACGAGGCAAACACTCACCATTATTCTTGAATGGCCAGAACTTAACCAGACCCTGTGAGCAGCCCGAGACCAGATACTGATTCAAATTGTCGCACGCCAGGCCACGCACAGCTGCCTCGTGGGCCGAGCGGAAGCCACCGTAGCTCAAGCGATGCTGCCCAGACTGCATATTAAAGCGCTCCACGTCGCCGGTGCTGTAGCCAATGATAACAAAGTTGCCGCAATGCGACGCAACGATAGATGTGGTTTCCGCGTCGAAATCGTTGCGGTTCTTATTTTGAAACTGCTTTGGCACCAGCCGATGATCGCCCAAACGGCCCCTATAGAACGACCAGGTTGTGGTCTGTATGATGCCCACATGTATTGCGGCAATGTTGTCCCATTCCTTTTCGCGTGTCGCATCCGCAGTGAACTCTTGAATTGGCGGCATTTTGCCCTTGTCGAACGCAAAGCGATCTATGGAATACAACAAAAAAATTCAGATTTAGCTTTGATTTGATGCTTCAATTGCGTCCTAACATACTCTTCTTCTTGGTCGCCCTGGGCTTGTAGGTGGCTCGACCCATGCTCTTGTGCAGCGACTCCGATATAGTGGAGAAGACGCGCAGCGTGCTGTCCTCACCGGCGGACAGAATGGAGACACCCCTACTACCATGATAGCGTATGAATAATGGAGGCTTCGTGTGACCTTCACGCACGCGCAGCATTCTGGCGCCGCCGTCGGACATATCGAACACGAAGATTTTCATTGAATTGTCCGGGGATGTGGTGAAGACCACCGGCTCGCTGGGCAGACAGATGGCCGTCGTTACACTCTTCTCGTGCGCCTTCAGCTGACCAGCCAATTTGCGCTCCTCCAAGTTCCAGAAGGCCAAGTGCCCACGGGCGCTGGCGGAGACCAGAATGGGTGGACCATCTGTGCGGAAGGACAACTGAGTGACCACGCCCCACTCCTGCTTGAAGGTGATGAGCACCGTATCGAATTTCAGATTCAAGACCATTATGGTACCATCCCTATGGCCAACGCCCATCACATCCAATGCAGGCGCCGGCTCAAGGCAAGTGATGCGCTGTGAATGATGCCTCATTGTGCACAATATGGTGTTCTTCTTAATGTTCAGGACCTTCAGCTGACCCCGCTGCGAGCCGAGTACAATTTTATTCACATAGGTGGGCGGATGGGCCAGAGCTGTGATAGAGAATTCCTCCTCATCGAAGGGCACATCCAGATAGACATCGTCGGTGGGTATGTTCCACACTTTGAGCACATTTTTGCGATCCACAGCAATCAGGTTTCGTCCAAAGGGCAGCAGCAGATGCACATCAGCTTCATGGCCCCGGTAGACGTGTCGTATGTGCTTGCCCGCTCGCCAGGCGTAGATGCACTTGTTGCTCGCCGCATAAGTGTGGGCCCTGTCCGCAGCCAGCGCCGTAATCTCGTCTGGATGCAAGCCGCTGATATGCAGAAGGCGCATGTGGCTGGCCGTGTACACCTGAAAGGAGCGTCCAATACAGGTGATCAGCAGCGTGTCCCGACGACGTAGCACATAGCGCGTCACTGCCGGCACCTGGTTGCTGACATAGCCAAGCGCTCGATTGCGGCGAAATATCTGGCTGCTCTCCTTAACTATTCCGCGTGGTTCTCTCTTCTCCTCGACCGGGCTATCCTTTTCACCCAAATGCGTCATTTTATTTGTTCACAACTTGCGTTCTTTTAGATTTTAATTATGCTTCAGCGATTTTCATGTTTACCCGCAACGACTGAGCACGTGTGTTACTTTCAATGTTTCCAAATCTGAAAGCAATGCAATTCAAACTGTGAATCAATGTTGTCATAACATAACAGAGCAGTGCACTCAAACTGTTAAGCTGTTCATTTACACAAACTGACGCCAACAGCGGCCAAAACTTTGTGATACGGTAAAATTAAACATTTTAAAATAAGCCGTTGCAGATGATACTCCTTATAAATAATATATATTATCCCACAATATTTTTTGCAATATCCCAAATATATACTTTCATTTACTCAATTGGCACTGTTACATGCTCAAAAACAATTATTAAACAGCTGTTCCGGATATCGATAACAAATGGTGGCAGACAAAATATTGAGTAGACGAAGTTTCCGTTAGTATCAAACCTCTCGTAAATGCTTACAAAATTAAAAACCTTTATTGGATTAATTTTTTAGTTTGATTTTATTAAATAACCATAAAATATATACAATAAAAGCTCTTGTGATAAGTTGTACGATTTTTTTTAAAATTGCGTTTTTAGTCGTATATATTTTTTTACGCGTATATTGTATTGAACTGATAATAAGTATAATTACATACTACACATATATATATATATAGTCTTTTGCTTTTCACACACATAAAGTTAATAATTTAATAAAAGCAATGAAACACTTTGCTATTTTAGCCATTCATCTTGTATTTTATTCAAAAACTTTTGATCTTTCTTTTTACCAATATATACACTGAAATTTTTACCAGCCCTTAAAAACTTCAGTAAATTTTTTTTGTGTTTTTTGTTTTGTTTATACAGTTTGTGCCAATAGCAAGAAATCGAGAATCGCACTATGTGTAGACATCGATGAAACAATTTTAATAAACATTCATTAGGTAATAGCGTTTGTTGTTGTTGTTTTAGTAGATATTGTTGTTCTGAAAAGTGCTTAATTTGGTTCACTGTTTTGTTGTTCAGCTTAGTTGAGCGCATTCAGCGCGCCTTCCCGGTTAAAACTTTCGCTAGAGCTCGAGAGCGGATAATCCAGCTCACCCAGACGAGGCACAGGTCGATGCGGACGGTTAAACTGCACGAAATCAAACAAATTAGGCTTGCTCTAACGATTCGTATTTATTCAGCTTCAATTTACCCAGGATTTCATGATTTTATAGAGCACTTGTCGAGATGGATAGTCATCGAATTCGGTTTCTGGTGGCTGTTCATTTGGCGCCAGCATCGGCAGCAAACCGTTTGGACGCACAAACTCTTGGTCGAGGCCAGCGGCATTGGCATTGGCATTGGCGGCAGCTGCACCATTGCCCGTTGCACTCAAGGAGCGCTTTCCATGTCCGCCGTAACAGACGTGCCCATAGGCCTGACAGCCCTCTGTGAAATGCAAAATCGTAAAATCAGAAATTCAGTAATTGGTAAAATCACAAAATGAATTAGTCGCCATCTACTTGGCCAGCAGATTGCAAATGCTTCGAGCTATAGCGGTAATCGATATAAGGCCCACGCACACCATGCGTGTTCCAGCACGCTTACGAAAACATGTTAGATTATGCGACGAGCAGATACCCTGTTGTGAATTACATACGAATATACGGCATAAGGTATACGATTTACGATTTACTGTACACGGTATATGATATACGATATGCGATATACAATACATCATATAAAGTTTACGATACGAGATTTGCGATATACGATATAAATCGAGAATTTATAATTAGAGTTTGTTAGTTTACTTTAATGGGAGCTCGTAGTGAGAATTCTGTCCTTAATTGAAATAATATATATTATCTGTATATTATCTGTATATCAGCTGCTGTAGTTATGGTATAATGATAGATAGATATGCCTAGATGAACATTGTTTATATGTATATCTCTCTATATACATTTATAAGTACACATATTCATCTTCGTATTTTTGACTGTTGCAAACCTTTCCTCAAACACATCATATCCTCTTCTACCCAATTGGCTTAGGGTATTCGAAGTTATTAACTGCGACTCGCTTGCAAAGTTTAAACCGTTTTGGCTATTCCCTCGTGCAGGAAGGCCGCAAACTTTGTGCCCTGCTGTGAAGAACATGTGGAGCCCTTGTGTGTCCCCAATAACTGGGAGAGTGGAAATCTTTAATCGCTCGCCAAATGCTCTGGAGAGACGAACGTTTGATAAGCATTTGACCTTATACGATATTTTATGCTAGACAATGATTTCGTGTTTTTATTTTGAGTTTGATTTTATTCGTTTTTCGTTTTTTGTTTGTCTGCGCTTGTTTTCGTGTGTTGACTCGTCGTTGCTATTTTTGAGCTTCCGCTCGCACAGCGCCAGGCATGGGACTTCGCATGGGAGTTGAACCTCTGTTCCTGTCATTCGAACAGAATGTTCTTTATACTTGTGATTTTTGGTAGCTTGGGGAAGCATTAGCAACATATTGTTAACACACATTAAATGTCATTGGGCTAATCTATGAGACATTTCAAAATAAAAGTTTTGAATGGGAAAATAAAATGCGTAAGCAAAAGATTCAATTGAAAAGCGCTTAAGTCCTGTTCGAGAAGAGCTAAAATCTAAGTATATCAATTTGATTTTATGAAAGCGTTGTAAATAAGACGAGGAATTCCCAATTTCTAAATAAAAAATTTTAATTAATCTTTGGTTTCATTTGGCTATAAAAAATAGTCAACAATTTTGAAAGCTAATTAAGAATTTCAGCTTGATTTATATTGATTTATGAAAATAGCTGAAGTCATTTTTGAGCAAACAGAAAAATTGAACGATTGATTAAATGAATTTTAATTTAAATATTGCTTCATTATTAAATATTAATAAAAATTTTAATTCAATCTTTCGTTAAACATATATCGTATAGAACAAGTTTATGAACATAGTGTGAACTATTTATGAAGAAATGAAAACTTTATTAATTAATACAAAATTATATAAATTACTTAAAGTAGTATAAAATTAATTTATTGCATTTATACTTATACACTTATACAAAAAAATTAATTTTATAGTTAATATACATTTTTATATATATAATAATATATATTTTATGCTCTGCAGCTTGATTATTTTCCTCTCATAATATTTTCCATCTATATCAAAGAGTAATATACATATACAGGAAGCATAAACTCTCCCTATTGCTCATTTATGAAAACATGCGTGCATAATGAAGTAGAGCGCAGAGAATGTTGCAGGTGCATGTGGCTGTAGCTGTCTCTATTGCACACCTTTACCCACCTGTCCAATCGTCCGCAATTTGATGAGGCGGCAGCTGCATAAACAAAGCCACAAAGGAGCAATATCAATGGCAACGCCGACGACGATGTCAACGACGTGCAGACGCCGAAGCTGCTGTTTGTTTTCCGTTAAAGTTAAACTGTAACAATTGCAGCTGCCAGCCATAACCTGTGTGGACAGGTGTGTATGAGTGTGCATGGGTGGGTGGGTGTGTGTGTGCGTGTAAGGACTTCCGGCTGTCGGGCATTTATAGGTTTGTTGTTCAATGCGCATTGCCATAAGAAGAACTAAAGTGGCTTGTGTGAGAGCAATCTACGCATACCTTGGCCAATATTTTCAATAAATAAAACAAAAGACAATACTCACTTTTAGCCTGGCTCTGTTGGGCGGCCAGAACGACGGTGCAGATGACAACCAGCAGCAGTGAAATTGTGGATTTCATATTAACTACAATAAAGAGAGAGAGAGAGAGAGAGAGGGAGGGAGTGAGAGAGCAATACAAACATCAATTAAAACACTTAGTTCTGCTTAAAGTTCTCTGGGCGTTTGGGCGTTACGTGCGTCTACCTGTTGATGCCACTGACAATGGGCTGCAGGGCCTGCGGATATGCCGCACTAATTAGAAACGCACCGCACACAGTTCAAAACACACACTCATGCACACACACACACACACACTCAGGCAAGTCACATGCATTTACTAAGTATTTAATCCGGGGCACAAAAACTTTTGAGCTTTGATTTATGTTTCATCCACATACAGGCAATTAGTGCGCGCGTGTGCGTGTGTGTGTGTGACAACTTAAGCAAATGTGCGTTTATTACGTGCTTTGAATGTCGAATAAAATGAAGTCATTTCGAATTTGCACGATTTTCGTATAAATATATATTTATATGGAAAGGCTTTTACAATATATTTTGAAGCATTCGCCATCAATCATACGACATGTGGACCCGAATATATTTCTAATATCACTAAAACGCAGCAAGTCGCGTGTCGACATGTATATTGCGAAAACTCACCTTAGCTCGCACTGATTAGTTGATTTTAAAAATATATTTATTGAAATTTAATTGCTATATTATAAATGTATATGTATGATATATATATGATAATATAAGTATGTATATATTTGTTACTTTGGAACTTTGTACGTTTTCATAGAATAATCACAGATAAAGTGGGGTATTTATTTTTTTTTAACGGAATTTTCTATTGAATTAATATTGAGTATTGTTGTTTTGGTTTGGTTTGGTTTGGTTTTATTGGTAAAACAGCATTCGACTAAGTTAATAGCAGCTGCTAGCGGTATTCAATTCACGATTTCACATTTTCAAGCGCTGCCCGGCGACTGCTCAGGCGTTCAGCTGTAGCTTTATAATCCCATTAATATATATATGTATGTATATAGTATATATATATGTATATTGCTTGACTCTTGGCTCATTGATAAGCCACATAATGCGTCGCTTTAATCGCAATTAAAAATCATGTCAGTCTTTGCAGACTTGCTTGAGATGGGGTTTATTTTTGAATTATATTAAATTTAAACATTCATAACAGATAAGTGTATGTGTGTGTGTGCGTGTGCGCGCGTGTGAGTGTCTGCAGTAAAAATCAACAGCAACTCCCACCCACAACATGCTGGAATAACAATAATATTATTGTTATTACTTTGTTTATCAATCTGTCATATGTCAACCAGCAAATGGGACGCAGCAAATGAGCAACGAGGAGCCTCTGCAGTCGGCGCCTGACGCCGTTCGCTTATCAATTTTCCCAGACCCGATTGTCAGCTAATAACGATTTAATGACCTGCTGCTGCCGCACTGTCAAAAGTACACATAATATCCGTTGCTCTGCCTAATATAAATCAATTTCGCAAAACTTTCCACACACACACACACACACATGCTCACACATATATATAGCCAGGTGCTGATTCAGTAGAATCGCTCGACGGACGCGTTTACCATCTGCCCAAAGACAAAGTTCAGTTGCATTCGTTGAGCCATGTTTTGTGTTCCGTGTGAAATTTTTCCTAATCAGCAGGTAGCTGATAATTTACACACATACATTATAAATTTATATAATATATATTATGTTTGTTATTAAGAACCGCGCAGCTTTTAAAAGCGTGCCTGTGGCATGGCGTTACGGTTGGAGCTTAAAGGCCTGCCCGCTAAGCTGCTGCGAGTCGCGTTCAGGCCGAGCTGATAGCCGACTTCAGAGCAAGCTAACCCGCGAGCTGATTAGAATAAAACAACAAAACACTCGCCTCTGACATAAAAGATGATTGCGATAAGCAGCTACTACTACTACATTGAAAGTTAATTAGATGCCCATTCAAGCTATTTGCCCTTTTCTTTTGCGGTCTGCAACTCGGAAACTCTTGAGACTTACCTCGACCTGAAGTGACACTAAAAGTGAAATAAATAGTTAAAGAAGTATAGTATTTTGAATTTGATATTAGACTCAGGCAGTAATTAAAATGCATTCCGAATTCATATTACTTAGCCTAACAATAGAGTCAAGATTTAAGATTCAAGCTGAATTTGCTGGCTTTCTATGTAATTCTAATGTGTTTCCTAACGAAGCTTATCAATTTGTCAATCATTTTACACCACGTTATTTTTATTTTTATTTTTTTTCTTTTATAGTCCTTTTTGCCTTTGCAATTTCCTAAACTTTTCTTATGCAATTTCTTTTCTCTTCATATTTGGAGTTGATTCGGTTTTTACGCCCGTTTAGGAAGTGCAGTATATAATCTAATCAATTTACCCTTTCTTACTTGTAGTCGATCATTTAATATATATTTTGAAATCTCCTTGGTTCTTTAAAAAGTCTTTATAATAAAACTATTGCTGATTGACAATGGCCAAATCAATGCTTTGAGTCATTTAAGAAAATTTTCGTACATTTCCACAACATTTAAAATTGAATTTCTTTAAGAATATGTTAATTTTCGAATTACAATCGAGAAGATAAATAAAAGCACATAAATACTAGAAAAGCGAAAAGTATGGGAATTATATGTGGAATCATCAAAACTTATAAACACTTAACATGTGAGGCTAATAAAAAATATATACATATATAAATAAATTTGTGAAGGCCTAAGTAAATATTTTTTGGCTCTATCTAAAAAATTAATTAATGAAATGCATAATATACTCTTATAGTAACTTTTCGATTCTTTAGCAAACTCTAACAGCATCTGAGATATCACCTAGAGGTATTCGTAAGGTACGTTAGGCCACACTTGTTAATACTTCAGCTTGATTTGCAATATAAGCTTAGATATATTTATTTAAATTTATGTAAACATGTAGACTCATTATCAGGAAATTACTTTCTCTAAGTGGTCTGGCTTGTAAATTCTTCAACCTGTTTTGATATAAGATATTTAAGATATCTTATGAGTTAGCATAAACAATTAATGGTTAAGTATATTAATCTACAAGTTTATCCAAACAAATGCTTTTCTTTCACTGCTTGGAACCTTATAAAGTTTTCTTTGATAATCCAGAAAAATATTTGCCAAAGTTTAGCTAATCCTTGATACTCACAAAATTAAGTTTACCTTGAACAAATTTACTCCACGAAGAGCATGTGCATACATGTATCTATATACATACATACTAAATAGAGCTCTATGCAAAGTAAACAAATTGCAGGGCATAAATCGAGTTAAACTGTTTGCAGGCAGGACGCCAAGGAGCTTCAGCAAAAGGTACAGCAAATTATATAGTAATGCTCGCCGTTTTAGGCACTCTCAAGTCTCGAGTCTTCATTTATGCAGCTGTTCGACAGAAGCTGTTTTGGCTTGGTAAATCGAGGGGCCACGTTCATAAACTTTGAACTTTGGCCAACGAGTGCAGCCCGTGGCGACTTATAAAAAATTAATTAAAGCTGCCAAGTGGGAGAAGTTAAGCATCGGCATCAACGGCCAACAAGGAACTTCAAATGCGCACTAATCTAATTTGAATCAATTAAAATTGAACAAATAAACATGGCCACAAAATATGACCAAAGGGTCTCCTCAAAATTGGGTGTATATATGTGTGTTTGTGTGTGTGTGAGGGCGGAGTAAAGTTTGCCCATTAAGTAAGCGAAACATAAATTATAAATTAATTATTCAATCAACTAATATATAATGCATATGATTTTTTTTAAATATATTTCTGAACCTAAACATATTTTTGACATAAATTAAATATTTTTATAAACAAATTTTTTAAGTTTATATTACTACAACTTTCCAAGTTTCTTAAATTTTACTTACCAATTTATTAATTTTAATTTTTTACTTTGAACTTTTGAGTATAAAGTTGTACTTCACACAAAATCTGCTAACACAGAGTTGCCACCTTTTTTTTTTTTGTTTAATTAAATTTTTAAAAACCTATTTTGCAGTCTAACTGGGATTGTTAACAATAAATTTGAACTCTTTTGGTTTTAGCGCGTTTTTGGTGTTGATGTCGCTCGACTGAAAGCCAAAATTCGTTTGATGCCGTTAAGAGCAAACGGCTCTGCTTTATACCGCAGGACGAGCCCCAGCTCTGTGTGTGCGTGTGTGGGTGTGTGGGTGTGAGTCTGTCAGTGTAGGTGTGTGGGTGTGAGTGTCGCTGCCTCGCAGCCAATCAGACGCGCGCGCTTAGCCGAGTGACACACGAAGCGTTGCCAACCGCCGCCTGGCTGTATGCAATGGCTTTGGATGCCACTAGTTCTGCGTGGGTGCTGCAACCATTTGAACGCCCAAAAATAAAGTCCGGGACCATAGGCATGCCCCGTGATAGGGGCTAAAGAGCAGCCGCGCTGCGTCTATTTCGAATTAGCAATGGGCACAGATTTATATATATGTACATATATATGCAATCAATTGATATATGATATATATATATGTATACGCGAGAATGACGTCTAACCCGTAGATAACTTTCTTAACTTTGCCAAACTGCTGCCGCGTGGGCTGTCTTGATGTTAATTCAATTAAATTGCCTTTGATTCACTTTACATATATGTACATCAATTTATGAATACCTACATATATATGTACCTATGCATGTATATATTGATATACATATATGTAGCTTGACTTGTTTACAACAATTATTTTCAATTGTTGCTAAAGCCAAACGGCTTATCGCCTGTAGAAAAATTACGTCGATAAGCAGCTGTTGCCACTGCTGTTGCTGCTGCCCCCAAACACAGCGCAGATCAAAATATTTGACATCAAACAGTAGCTGGTGCTACGCCCCTGCATATACATACATACATACATACATATGGAGCCCTCCTCTCTATCAATATTCATAGAAAATGGCTTATTGTGCATTTCCGTAGGGCTACCTAGTTTACTAATAAACAAATCTAAGCGTATATTAATTATATATACATAAATATACAGATATGGGGTGAAGGAGCACGTCATATTAATAACACTTTATTTGATTAGTGAGAATTTCTTTAGGGAGAGAAAGAGAGAGAGAGAGAGCAGAGTGAGAGTGAGATAGAGAGAAATAATCGAACACCTCACTTCATCATCACACCAGAGAGAGAGAGAGCGAGAGTGAGATAGAGAGAGATAATCGAACACCTCACTTCATCTAGTATTATATTGCCAAAAAAGGACAGAAACTCTATTTTTTTAGCTTAGCTTTTATCAGCTCGGCCATCATCTAAAAAGAGCATATGGACTTCGAATCATACAAGGACACACATAAGATCTATTACAATTTAAAGTTCAAAGAAAGTCTGTATAGATGCTAAAGACTTATAAAAAAAAATAATAATAATGATTAAATTCATAAATTCATAATAAACCCTTTATATCCTGATCTCTCAATTTCATTTGGTTCAGGCCAGGTTAAAAAATAGTTTTATGATTGAAAGAAATTCTCGAAAGCGGCACGAATCATATCAAATTTATAATCATATTATTAGTTTTCATTTTAAAAAAATTCATAATAAATTAAAGAAAATATAAAAACAATAAATACTTTATAGATATTTCAAAGAAATTCTAAGTGTAAGAAATATGTAAATAAATAACTATTATATGAAAAAATAATTGAGAATTTGTATATTATTTTTCTTAGAATATCAGCTTAGCGTTACGTTAACTGCCAGCTGCCTCTATTAAATGATTCATCAAGCTACTACAACGCGACTACTCAACTCTCAAAAATGGAAAATACAAATTTTAAGAATGAAACCTTGTTAAATAAAAACTTGAAATACTATTAATAAAGTTAATCAGGGCGGCAGATGAAGTCATATAAAACTAAATTATTAAACAATCGTCGACTTCATATAGAAACTCCAAGTAAAAATTCATCACTGAATTTTCATAGCTACAATTTAATAGATTTTCAGCACATTGATAGATAAACACAATCAAAATACAGTTTAAAATACATAAATCTTTAATTTGTTAAAGCTCCAATTGTAATATTATTTGATAAAGTTTTGTGTAAATGCTAGAGCTAACTGCGGACGGATTTTAAGTTGGGATGTAAAATAATAAAGTAATATACAAATTGCGGAGATTCAAATTAGATATTCATGTCGAGCACTTAGTTGAAAAGCTGACGCATGAACCAGATGCCCAAAATGGCGCTGAGAAGGGAGCCAGCGCCAGCGAGACCCATGGCGCCGTTGTGCTGGGCACAGATGCGGGGCTGGGGCGCCGACACATATTTGCAGAGCGTGCCGGCAAAGTTGACCTGGGCGCGCTCATTGACTTTCTTGTCGAATTGCTGCGATAGGTCAAAAGGAGAATCAATTTTAGTCGCTGATATGATTTGGGAGCCTGCGGCTAGCCGGGGCCTACCTCATTGAACAGGATGGTGGGCACACTGGTCAGCGGCTCCTTCAGTCGCTGCGTGGTCTCGCCAGCCTTGCGCAGCAGGATGCTGCCATCGGTGGTGTTGGCACAGGTCTTGATGTTCTCCCAGTTGTTGACATGGTTTTCCGTAGCGCAACGCTGGCCGGGGTACACATTGTCGGGGAAGTTCTTGCCGGCGCGCATCAGGCAGTTGATAAAGTCAAGCGTTAGCGATTCGCGGGTGTACTCCACCTGATAGGAATTGGCCTGAATGTGCTCAATGGCGCAGGCATGCACCTTGTTGCCGTAGCACTCGTTGGGGCCGTGGTGGCAGGTGAAGGTCACCTCCGAGCCTTGTGTGGTAAACTGCGTGGGAAATGCAAATGAAAAATGCAGAGTTTCAGTTAGTTGGTGTGCCAGTGTGACAAATGAGGCATTGTTCCATTGACTCACCTGGGACTTGCCAAAGGGCACAAATGTCAGTTCGACGTGGTCACGCAGCTCGCTCTTCATCGCCGGATACAGTTGCTCCGTAATAAACTTGGCGCTGTCCGGGCACAGGGACTCATAGTAAACGGCAACGGGCACCTGGTAAACAATGCAATACAGGTGTGAGTCAGACGTATATACATATATATGTGTGTGGGTATGTCGTATAATGCACATGCTTCATAATGTGATGTCCATATTTTGTGCCTGGCAATTTGCATTTCTACTGCAAATGCAAAACAGTTTCGTTTGACTGAGCACAGCCAAAAATTGAATTCTGTGACTCGAACAAAAGCAAACAATGGTTTCAGGGTATAAACACAAAAAAAAAAAGCTAGGCTTCATTTGTTCTCTATGAAAGAGTATATCATAAATGGCCAAATTTATAGTCTTTATATTTTCAAAACAAATTTTTCTATATACTTTAACCATACTAAATAAAGCTGCAATTAAGATCATCGCGTTGCCAGACTGCTAAAAATATCTCGTGATTATCTATATACATATATACAAATACACACATATTTGTACATATACATGCACATGTGTAAAATAAAATAATTTGATTTAAATAATTTAATTATCAAGTAATATGTGAAAATAAATATATTTATGTATATGAAAATATACATATATAAATAAAAATAAAAATAATGCTTGACAAAATTTTCTTATATAATTTTTATTTATCTATCTATCAGCAAGTACAATATTTATGTATGTATGTATATACTATATATCAATAAAATGAAATGGTATATATACATATGCATGTACGTTAATTCTCTGCAAAATTTGAAGTTCAAGTCTCTGCACGCAATTGTATGCATATATACATATACATAAATACATACATATATTAATATATGTATGGCAAATATTTTTGTTAATTATATTTTTCTTTCTATTCCCAACATCTGGTTTTTATGTCTACTTAACATATAGCTCCACAGTTTGCCATATTTTACTTTTTTAAATTTCAATAGAGGTTGCTATTTGATAAAAACAAATGAGTATACAATCTCATATAATTTATATATATTATCCATAATCTTTGTGAACCTAATAATAAATTTTTTAACTTTAAATTGCGAAATTTTGCATGAGGCAAATTACAACTTGTCGTGACTAAGTCGACAAATGATGCGCTTCAAATAAAATGTTTATTTAAAAATGCCAGCGCAGCCGCACATACACATGCACAAATAGATACTACAACTCTGTTTTCAGCAAACAAAATTTGCGTATAATTCCATTGTGTTCAATTTGTTGTTTTTTTTTTTTTTTTTTTTTTTTTTGCCAGACAGAAGTTCTCATAAGTGCCAAAGTCAGCGCTGTCTATACTGGAAGCTCATCAGTAGAACTGTTATGAGTTCCATTCTTGTGAACAGCAGCAGCAGCAGCAGCAGCAATAGTAACAACAGGTTGTCTGGAAAGGAGCTTCCAAGAGTGGCCGGTGGGCAAGCAGACAGCACCGGTCCCCGCATGCATTACACTCACACACACACACACACACATTTAAATACAATGAAATGGAAACTGGTCGGCATTAAGAACCGGTTTTGGCTCTCAAAACAAAAACAACAGAGAAAATGAATTTATACAATTATTTATGCATGTATGTATGTATATACGCATGTGAATTAAATATTTTCCAGCTGCAGCATTTTCCATCATCAGTTCATTCAACCCATTTTTATAGGGCGCGCCACTTGTTGCTGTGTTTGAAATGGGCGCGAGGCTGCTTCTTTTTGATTTTTCTTTTATTTAAGACGGTCGACCCTGACCCAGTACATTGATTTTGTTGAAATCGCGAATTTCATTGCTTGCATTTTAATTTGATAGTGTGTAAGTTTTGCTGTGATTATGTAAGACTTACCTTAGCGGCGCTGCACACAGAAACAGCCAGGCAGGCCAATAATATAATCTTGTGAGTCATGCTTCTTGATTTCTTTTTATTTTCGTTTTCTGACGGTTAACGATTTATGTTATGCTGACACGAACACAATTAAAGCGCTAGTTGTTGTGAACGTGCTGACGTCTAAGCGTGAACTGTTTCATCGCTTCGCCTCTTGGTTGGGACAGTAACAACAGCGGCTTCACGGCTTTCCAGTCTGAGCGCGAGAGCGAACGCTCACATGCATACGTAATTAGAGTTGGGCTTGGTCCTATAGAAGTATATGTGTGTACATGCATATGTGTGCATGCATATTACAGTTCACAGATCGTACGCAGCTAATGCATAGGTCCAAAGCTTAGTAGAACTGCACTAAAAAGCACCGTAATTCAATTAGAGGGGAGCTTTGTGTCTCTCTTGTTAAAGGCACATCAGCATTGGCGCTCTCTGTGGAAAATGCTAATTAGCATAGCGCAGCTAATTGGATCGTGTTGGGCTCAATTCGAATGGGAATTGAATCATGTACTGCGTTCATGCTGCACGCAGATCTCAGGGGATAAAAGTTTGACTTACACACCGAATTTCTCTTTATATTAAATGGAATTACAGATTACAATAAATGTTTTCAGCTATAAATGTATGTACATGCAGATGTCAGTTTAATTAAAAACATTCTCTGTGGCATCAATCGCGAAACTTGAATCCCTTTGCAATCAAATCTTTACGCGCCTCCAATATCTCCAATTGCAATTCCTTTGCAGCCAACGGGCAGTCGTTAAATGTGAAAGTGCGATACAGCACAATCCATGCGGAATATATCTAAAGGTAAATAATGTTGGGTTAACCAGAAGTATGCCAGGCATTCTCTTTGAAACTTACACCAAATAGAACTAGCAGAACAAGCGGTAGCAGCTGAATATGTAGCAAATATTTGGTTGTAAATGATGTTTGCACTGTTCCCAATACAATGCTCAGGTAAGGCACCGCGAAGAGCGTTGCATAGAATAGCCAACGCTGAAGATTTGTCATGTTTAACGCTAATTATTAATACAAATATAGGAATTCCAAATAATCAACACGCCTCTAATGCAACACGTAAACAAGCGACCGGCCTAGTGATGACCGATAAATCGATAGCAGTGAAATCGTTATTCACTTCGCCACAAACAGCTGACTGCGTGTCGTGACAAGCAGCTAATGCGTGCAAACGAAAATTTAGTTGAAATTTAAAATGTGATTTGGAATCAAAGAGTAAATTTATTAAGTTTAAAACTAATACATATTATTAGAGGTAGTTACAACTGCGCGGCGCCCACTGTGCATGGTCTATTTGCCAGTAAGTCAGCTGTACGACAGCCAACAATTTGAAACTTAATCGCGTCTTCTTTCAAGGAACCGCCCACAAAAAGATTCGGCTCACTACTCAGTGCCCACAGTTCATTCTCTCCCTTTGAGTTCAGATTGATTTTGAGGCCAGTTACAAATTTAAGCTGCAGCGGATTGTAGGCCACTGCGCGTATATCGTCTGCAGTGTAATTCGAATGCTCGTTCCAGCTGATCAAAGCACCCAGGCTGATGAGGCTGCAGTAGAGATTCCCGCCACTGTCCATTACCTCCGATTCGCACTGGGTGCCACGCGTGCCCAGGACGCGAAAATGCTTGCTGATCGCCTTGCTCGAGGGCTGCTGCCGCCAGATGCTCTCATTGTTGACCACGTGCAAGGGAAGGGCTATCTCATAGAAGCTATTCAGTGTATGGAAGTACAAAAAGCGCTCTGAAATTAAAGGGAAAGCCATTGTAAAAATATGTTTTCACGATGAAGTGAATGAGACAACCTGCTGCATGGCGTGGACTCAAGCTCACTGTGAAAATGCCAGCGTGGGCGTTGCCAAATCGACGCACTCCCAAGGACGGCTGCATGGACTCGTGCTCGATGCGCCAGGATTTGTCGGTGAGCGCATCAAAGACAATCAGGCCATAGCCCCAGGCGTCCGCTATATAAGCCCTGCCACCCAAGCATTTGCTCTCAGCCAGATCCACGACCATCGCCGTAAAAATCGATACACTGGGCGTGTACATGTGCGGGGCCAGCATGGTACGCTGCACCAGAGCATCTTTGACCAGATCGAATATCAAGATTTGTGGAGCGCACAGCTGCAAGGAGTTCACTTGACCCGAATCCACAACCCAAAGGCGCCAGCACTCATCAATCTGCAGGCGGAATAGATGTTAAAAAACGTCTAAGCTCAGGTCTTAGGCTCAACTCACATAAGTCCTGATGGCCGAAGTGATGCCCGAACAGTTGTTCGCTGACTGATGCCATTCCAGGCTGGGATAGGGCTCCAGGCGGGGATTCTCAAGCACTTTGTTATCAGCCGCTGCCACGGTGGCCAGCGTAAATGGCGTGCCCGTGCTCAGGCGTGGTATGGTCAGAAATGTACGATGACGCCCCTCGTCGCCATACTCAATGTCCAGATCGACGGGCAGGAAGTGGCTATTGCTGCCCTCATCCTGTCCCAGGCTCAGATTGCTCCACTTGTGCAGCGTGTGCAGCTGCTTGATGCGCAACTGTTGGGCACTCGCATTGGCCAGAACTAGGACTAGGCCCACTGCCAACAGGACAATGCTGACACGAAACATTTGAAGAGCTCGTAAAGCAGAAATGAAAATCTCGTCTTAGCTGCTCAGGCGATGCTGCAACACTGAGGTGCAGCCGCAGGTAGGGCCCATGTTGGCCTGGCTAGTGTTAACAAACCCTAAAAGGGGCAAAACAGTCGAGAGCCCTATCACAGGTACACACACACACACACACGCTCACACTCATGCACGTCGAGTTTATTGCCGTTAAATACTTGTGAGATTTATGGACACCTTTTCTCTTTCTGTTTACATAGACGCATAGAACACGCACACTTCATGCCACCTGCATCCAGCCTCCTTGGCTCACAGCATGTTAATTGATCTGCCTCTCGCTCACTCCCGCGCTCGCTCGCCCGCTCGCCCGCTGTCTGCCGGAAAACGCTGTCAACCCGCAATTTGAGTGTAGGCTTAACCACTTCTGAGCCAACACACTCCAAAGCCATCAAAGCCAAACCGGCTGCAGTTGGTCGATCTTCGGGTATTTGGGATCGTCGTCAGTGAACTTGCTTTTTCCACGCGCCGGAATTTCGTTTGCCATCACATGTTTTCATTTCTGTATCAGCGTGTTTAATTCCATGTTTTCATGCCACTTACATTCCATTTCGCAAGGAGTACACAAATTTGTGTATACCCTGTAAACAGTGAAAGTGGCACTTGTAGCTGCAGCTTAAGCAATAGCAAACAAATGTGGTCTGTGCGAGGGTATTAAAAGAGGTTGGCAGAATAGAAAGTATTTATTTAAATATTCATTAAAATATTTTTGGCAAACACTTTAAAGCAAAGATTAAAAAGTTGTTCCATAATTTCTAATATTTTTCTTTTTATCATTTGCTTACAGAGTATCTACTAGTCAAACAGCCAAAAACTTAGTCCATCTTAATTGTTTTCTTTGATGTTTACAGCTCAGGCTGCAAGTGCTTTAAAAAGAAATTTTTGAAATTTGAATGAACTTTCAGCTATGCACATAAAGCGGACTTTGCACGCATGAATGAAGCTGAAGCTGAATGCTTGCGATTCTCAACCAGTTTAAGGCTCGAAGAGAGCGGAAGTTGCCTCAAAGCAAATTAACAATTTTTATTTCTCTTGCAGCAACTCTTTGGAATTTAATGTCATTAAAGTTTTGGAAACGTTTAAAATTATGGCCTAGTCGATCAATCAATTTACGAATCGGCTGCATTTTTTGCACTTATTTTGTATCAATTAAGTCGAGCCAAAGACCAAAACCAAATGAAACTTAAGTTCAGATTAGCCAAGCAGAACCGAGCCACCATAAGCGAGAAATCGCCTGAAAGCGTTGCCCAAGATAGAAACAAACAAAATATAAAAAACACAATTTCATTTGAGAACTGGTTAAGCCGTCGTCGTTTTACGGCTCATTAAAGTCGGCTTTGAGAGCGCCCGAGTTCAACTTGTCAGAAACTGTAATTTAATTATGTAATTAAAAATTTGTTTAATCAATTTATTATGACTTCAGCTGGCAGCTGTTAGTCAGATATATAGTCAAATATTCAATTACCAGCAAAATTGAAAAGGTTTTTAGATAGTCAAATTAATTGTAGTTAAATACTATGAATCAAATGTCAAAGTCGTGTTTCGGCCAATCAACTTCTTTGACATTCATAACTATCTACAAATTGGCTTCATACTGAAATCTAACTTTGTATTAAAATCTGTTTTATATATGCTTACAAAATGCTTTAATTAGTTTGTAATTATACCATTATTAGATTTAATATGCGATATGAATCTTTAAGCTAAGCGAGAAAGTATTCATAGAAGGATTACACTTTTTATTTTTCTACAAAATTTCATACTTTCTTAGGACAATTACTCAACTTTCAGGGTAGTATATTAATATATTAGTGTCCTAAGAATGTATGAAATTGTAGAAAAATAAATAGTGTAACTTTTCTATATATTTTCTATAAGAATTCATTCTAGTATTTCTCTAAGTATTGTCTTTAAACATTTCATTAAAGTATTTCCTCTATTTATTTCTTCCTATACGTTTTTCAAGTATGCCTCCCAAATATGTAAGTATTTCTGCTAATTATGAGGTTTCACAAATATGTGCTCCAAATATGTCTGCTAAGTATTTATATCATGTATTCCCTTAAAGTATTTTGTCCAAGTATTTCCTGTATTTATTTCTTCCTGTAAGTTTTTCTTCTAAGTATGGCGCCCAAATAAACATTTAAACATTTCACTTAAGTATTTCCTGTAAGTATTTCTGTAAGTATGTTTCCTAAATATGTGCTCCAAATATGTCTGCTAAGTATTTATTCCATGTATTCCCTCTAACTATTTTCTTTAACTATTTCCTGTAAAAATGGCATTAAGTATCTCCTCTAAGTATTTCTTCTCAGTATTTCTTCTATATATGTCTTCTAAGCATTTATTCCCAATATTTCCTCCAAGTATTTCCTCTTTAATGCTGAATAATCACGCACTCTACTTCACTCTACTGCACTGCTCGACTGACCTGCACCAGGGCGACTGAGGAAATGCTACAACTGTTGCCCTTTATATAGGGCGACTTTCACTCAAAAACTAAATTGCGCTCAGCCGAGCTTTAAGTGACCAATGGGAACACTCTCTGCTGCTACAAGCATTCTTGCTTCGGTTTACTTATATAGAGACACCAAGTATTACTGATGCATACATAGAGAGAACTTAAGCGACCCTCTCTAGCTCATCTAACTTCTCTCAGGCCTTTCTTTCTCGACGCACTCAGTCAATAAAATTAGTCAATCAATCAAATTTGTAACTTCTTTATGTATTTATATATGTGTGTGTATATTTGTTCATTGACATGAAGAGGACATGTTCTTGAATTAAAAACCAATTATTATAGAACATCATAAAATATTTACAAACAAATCAAAAGAGAGGCGTAAACAAAAATTAAAATAAATTAAACAAAATATTTACAGAAATACAAGAGAATATACAAATACAAAATAATCCGTTTAGGGATAGTAGAAGCCACTGTGGCGTAGGCTTTGAGGGTAGGGCGTGGGCGCAGCTGCAGGCGTGGTCACGGGGCTGCTCACCAGGGTGTCCAGATAGGAGCGCTGATAGTTGTCACGTGTCGCCTTGCTGGGCGGAAAGGCCTCGCCCTGATTGAGCGCCGTGAATGGATTGCGTAGTCCATAGTTGACAAAGCCCGTGTTCTCGAACTTGTACGGCGTCTTGGTGGTCAGGGGCGTGCCGAAGGCCGGACTCGTAAAGTACGTCTGCAGCGCATTCGTATTCGCCTGCGAGTGCACGTGGATGTTCGTGTGCGCTGGAGCATTGTACAGGCTGTAGTGGAGCAGGCTATTGTGCGCTGGGGCTGTGGGCAGCGGCAGGGAATGGCCTAGCAAGGGACTCTTGACAGTTTTGCCCTTGACCTGCGGCAGTTCGATGCGTAGGATGCGATTATTATACTCGTTCGGATTGAGGTTCTTGAGGAAGAAGCGATGGAACTTCGAGGATATGGCATAGATGACGCCCGGCTCTGCTCGTGTCGTGGTCAGGTCCGCCACAAACTGCAGCCGGTCGACATCTTGGGCCAAGACAGCTTGCTGATTGGTCGCCGGATTCCAGGAGGCAATGGCCGTCTCGGTGAGCGGACTAAAGATCAGGCTGCTATCATAGGGGGACACTGCCAGGCCAATGCCCTGCGACGACTTCTTGCCCACCAGCTTGACATCCAGCATTTGGCCGTTGGGCAGCGGTCCACTGCGCAGCACGTCCTTGTGCACCGAGAAGACGCTGGATGGGAGATGGGATTATACAGACATATAGAGATTGCATATACCTAAATGGACTCAAGTCTTACCGATCTGTGGCCAGTGGCTGGAAGTAAACGATGCCCTTCTTCTCATCGAATGTCAGACCCACAACGCCGTCCATCAGCACAAAGCGATCGTTGAGTATCTCGGATTGCGCAAAGTCCGGATCCGGGTACATGGCTACGATTGACATACGTGTAAGACAAGTTCAGACTTGAATCTTTAATTATATTCGGTACCTGGATGCGAGACACGCCAGGTGACATCCTTGCCGCTGTCGTACACAATAATGCCCGGCTCAACGGTATCCGTTATGTAGATGAACACATCGTCACAGGACGTGGCCGTCGTCTCATCGATGACCATGTTGGTGAACAGGGTCTCACCGCGCAGCACTTCGGGCGGGAAGTCAATGCGACGCACGACGCGATCCGTGTTCAGGTCGACAACGAGTATCTTGGGCGGGCAGGTGGACTCGTAGTCCTCCAGGGAGCGCGAGATGCCCGCGTCGAGCATCCACAGCCGATTGCAGGAGTCGATGCGCAGTCGATAGACCGAGGTGAGAATCAAATCGCTGCAGTTGAAGTTCGTGCGCGCTGTGTTCGAGAAGGACCAGTCGGGGAATGCCTGGAGCGTGGGTGAGTCCCCGATCTTATCCTTTGGCACCCAGCTGACCGTCGATGGCACGCCCGAGAACAGTTTCGGCGTGGCCACAAAAATGCGATCAGGCGTGACGGCTAGGCCCGTGATGAGCACATTTTCCGGATTATAAAAGTTCGTATCGCCGGCCCGCATTTGCTTGGGAAAGTTGTAACGCAGCAGCTTCCATTGCTTCATCACCTGCAGGCCCGATGACTGGGCGCCTCCAGGCAGCTGGCAGAGCAGCCAGCAGAGGACGGTGGCAAGCAGAATCCGTTGCATGGCGAATCTCGGCTAAATGAGGGGAAAACAAACATTTAAATAAAAAACTCAAATAATTAGCCATAAACAACGTGAATACACTTGCAATTCAATTGATTTTAGCCAATTCGATGTGGCCAATAAAGAAACTATTAAATGATTCACGCTGGAAATTTCAATAAATCAATCATTTAATATGCCCATCAACGCCAAATCTACGTTAAGAGTTAACAAATAATTATTGATTTCGCAATCATTTGTAATCAATTAATATGAAATTGAAGCGCGTTAAAAAAGATTATTTAATTTATGTAAATACTTGGTGAGGCTTTTATCAAGTAT